ATTTTTTGAAACGTACTGTAGTTTAACATTTTTCTACTATTAATTTTAGAAAATGATAAGGATATTTTTTTTGGGGTATCCTTTATTTGCATTAGTATAGGCTATACTGCTGAATACACTTTTACATTTTGTCTAGCTATTTAAATTGCACTTTAATTCTTTGGTGCACTGCATCTAAATTCATGATATTGTGAACTGATTACATATTAAACTCAGCTAAGTTTTGAACCAGATTGACTTACATTGTTTTGACTTTTTTTTTTCTAGTAGGTGGAAAGCATCGAAAGTCACAGTGTTAGGCTTGAACCCACTAAATTCACCTCTTAGGAAGGAATAGAGCAGACTTCCACAGCATTGAGGAAACTTCGTTCCAGCAATCAGGCGCGAGAGATATGAACATATAGGCTTAAGGCTTAAGGCTAGGTTCACCTAAGCCAGAAAGCAGGGCGTAAATTAGGGAGATAGGGTGATCATAAAGGGGGTGGGTTAGCGCATACGTGCGAGTGAGATTAGCGATAAACTTTGTAACTATGGTCACGAAAGCCGCGATATTAAAGGAGAATGGTGTGAGGATTACGGTTGCACTCATCGAAGTAGTGAAACAATTATTGGGGGGATTCGTAGCGCAAAGCTTGAATGAAATCTTTTGACTTTATGGGATGATCGATTATAACAGGTCTGCTGAATCAGAAGATTGTAATTTGTTGATTTATAAGACTTCTTTCACTAAATCAGAGGATCTGTTGATTTATTAGGCTTTTTTCTTGTTGCTCTTTTTAATAACAATGATTTCAGTTTGGAAGAGCACTACACAAGCTCGAAACATGATACCATCTTTTTATTATATGTTAATATAAACAATATATTTTTACTAAGAATGTATAGTAACCACAGAAGTTTTAAAATTAGTTTTTAACTTTCCGCGAAGTTACAGTAATCGATGGAAAGCTAACACGCAGCAATTTTTACAATTTTTGGAACATAGGTGGTCAATTATTTTCGATTTTATATGAAATACTAAATATTTAATGCTAGTGATCACTAATTATTACCAACGGTTATTCGTCTCTCTCTACCAATATTAATAATTGCCTCCGAATGAGATGTGTTAATATTTGTTTTATCAAGCCATGGAGAAGAAGCCTAATCTATTAATAATCAATTTTATAAACAAACATAATACCTTTTAAATATTTAATTTAAATAGATCAATATCTTCTGTCAGGCTATGTGGTAGGATTGCCAGAATGGAAATATGCTGCTTTAATGAGGTTTTCCATCATCAGCACTCGTACAATCTGAGCATTTAGCTTCTGTTTCAATTTTTTGTCATATTTCGTTTCCATCAAAAAAAGACTAAGAATCATTTTATAATATTATTTTGAGCTTTATTATTTTGTATTTAATAGAAATGCTCAATAAAAATATTATAACAGATATATACATATAAGTCCATTTGCATAAATTTTAATAATTCGGAATATGAAGAAGAAATTATAATTGGCCATTTAAATTAAATCCTTTCAATTGAATTCGAAAATAAAAGACCAATCAAGTCGTTCATCAATCCACTTACAATCTCGTAAAAAAATAGTTCTCTGTCACATATCCCACACTTCTAGGGAAGCGCACGCACACAAGCCCATTTCAATTTTCTGCATTTTTATGTACATATTTAAAATGAAGAGCTTTATCTGACATCCTTTGACAATTTGACGCAATTCCTGTCAAGTGTTTTCATATCAAATTTTCCATACTCCAGCAGGGCATTGTTGCTGCCCCATAATTTGTGCGCTTATTTGTAATGAGAACATTTATTTCTGATCGCTGTTGTAAGAAACAAGGATGAAATAGGAATGGCTAGGATTGAGTATAGAAAACTGTTGCCACAACACCACATGACGTCTGTTGTTTGTTCATTTCATATTTGTGATTTTTATTATTATTTTATTATAAGAATATTTTCATTGCCGTGTTGTAATTTAAAAGGACTTCGTTTCTTTTTGCTTATTTAACAGCTTAAGGCACAAGACCACTGCTGACAGACGTCATCTGCAGAATGCGGCTAATGCCCATGCTTGTAGTAAGAATAATAATAATTGTTTTTATGTTAATAAAAAAAAATCAAAACAAATTTTATTTTTCAACATTTCGAGCAAACTTCCAAGAAGTGGGTCGTTGTCAGTGTATTCCTGTTGACATTTCTATTCCTAGTACAAAGGAACTGAGGAACTTATGAAAAATTCAACATTTGCTCAGAAGTTTTATATTGGTGGTAACTTAGATTAAATTTAATTACAATTGCATTACAAATGAAGTCAACTTTTCTTATAAAAACATTTGAAAACTTTCTCAAGTAGTTTCAGTGTATGGATTCTTATCTAAAATTCAAGAGTGAAACATTCAACAGTGAAACACGCAACGATGATAAAGCAATAATGTTGTACCATCAAAACTGTCCCAGATATGTTACTATAGAACATTGGTTCACACAAAATTTTTTATCGACTTTTGCTACTCGTACAAGTTTTTGAACTGTGTAACTTGTCTATGTAACTTGTCTACTTGAAGATTCTAACAAGGAGTAACTTTTTGCGAATATGATTTATTATGCACAGAAACTATCAGTGCTTGGCATTTTCGAGATTTGGAAGTGAAAGCTTTTATAGTATGCGGTTGTTCAACTCAATCGCAATATAAAAATACTAAATTATAAAAATTATAATGACTTTTTATATAATTAATTAATTTGCAATTAATAAAATACTTTTAGGGCTTAATATCAATTTTACACCGTATCATTTAACATATATATAATCTCTCTCAATTTTAAAACACTTATTTCAATAACCCCGCAAAGCTTCTCATCTTAGTTGTGGCTTTCTGCAAGGTCAGCAAAACAGTACTCCACTGCAGCTATTACTTTCTTATTTATTTGAAATCATTTTCAATGTGAATAGGCTTCAAACTGCAAGAAGGGTAAGTCTTCCGTATATGATACTTTTTGTAACGATTTATACTTTAAATATTTGGTTGTACTGATGATTTTTGAGGTGTGAGCAGATAGATTGTCCTGAAGGAAAACAATTTTTTTCTCTAATATAGCTCTTTCTTTCAAAAATCATTACATGCAAGTAGTCAAAAAAATATTGCAATAATAATCTTAATTTATTGAAATAACAGTTTGATGGTAAACTACCAATAAAATAATTTTTGAGTCTAGAAAATTGACATGTGTATCTTATTGTTCAGTTTTTGGACGCAAACTAATTTTCCATCTTCTGTTTTGTATTGAAAATGTGTGGGTAGATCTGAAATCCACCTGTAATGTTGCAATAACGTAAAAAATAATTTTTTTTTCTTAAACGTTTCAAAAGTTGTGGATCAGATTATATCGTTTTAATTTCTGTGTTCCTATTATTCAGTACTATTCTGACATTAGGAGTTCCTCAACGATCGACATTCTCGCTTTCATTCGAAAGGTGGAATGTCTTCTGATTGCTTAGGGTCTGTAGCAGCACAAAAGATCAACCATGGTCGCAGTTCTCCGCTTTGTTGGAAGCTGGTACATCGTTTATTCCTATTAATATTATTTAGTATTATTTCCAAAATCAAAAATGTTTAATAAGATACTCATTACTGTTTCAAACTTAATGCCCACAGCAACCACTAATACGGTCCGGTCAATAGATAATAGAGACATTGATAATAGATACTCTATTTTTGTGACAATTTCTCTTGTTGAAATAGGTTATAGACGTTCTTCACGTGTATTTTCTTTAAGGCTTGTAGAATAAGTTTTAGACAAATCAATACGTTTATAAACCATTGTAACTATTTTTAAATTATTTATATTGATTTTAAACACTAAGATTTTGTAAAGAAGTGAATTATTATATGGTTTTTATGTTGAAGCTATTTGAGACAGTGAACTTGAGCACTTTTGCTCTTTATTAACTCGAGGTATCTTCAAAATCCCTCTTTACGCCTTGACTGGATTATTGTTTATGACTTCATCAGACTAAGCAATAATTGACCTCAGATCTCCATACCTCCCCGAGGAGCCTGTAACCATTCTGAGATTCGATAACGCGGTGTTGGTGTTCAACTCTTTTTATTGTTTAGAAATATGCAGACATGTTAATTTCAAATTTATTGTAAATAAAGTACGCTTTAACCGATCGAAGCACTATAGTCTTATATATCAAGGAATATAACATATGTGAGCTTTTCAGCTGCCTTGCTGAATCATATATTCTCATATATCGATTTAAATCGAATTTGATAATGAGAACAAATTATTCCTGTCCTTCCAGGTATAATTTGTCTACGTTTACTGACATTCCACTATTCTCTTCTACAGAACCTCTTACATGGACATGCTGTTTGCTGCAGCTGGATAGTTTGAGTATATCTATGGTTGGTTCTGACATTGGTGGTTTGGCTTGATTTTTCTCTAGCAGCTCGTTTATAGAGTGACGTTATTTGTGCTACGAGATCACCATAGCTTGGTGGATGGGCCTTCAGATCACCATAGCTTTGTGGATGGACCTTCTTTCTCCACCCATCATTTCTTTGAATACCTCAGCGCCTGTCGAGTTTTATTTGCAGTTTAGTTTTTTTAGAGTGTGCCTCTTCTGAGAGTTGATAATTAACGTCGCTTCAATGTTTTAGTCCAAAATAGTGGAGCTTTCAGAATTTAAGTGAAGTAAAATTTCAGTGAATCTTATTTGTGTTGTTTAACATCAAATTAAAGCTATAAATTGTTAGCCAATATCTTTGGCCTCCACGTATAGCAGAAATTATTTCTGTATTTTTATTATTTGATATGAAATTGATATACTGCAATGAAAAAAAATTAAATTATGCATTCAATTTCACGGAAAACTCTATAGCCAGTAATTAAATTTGCTTAATATAACGTGAATTTTATATTTCTTAAAAACACAAATTTGTATATTTATGTTTATGTTTATGTTTTTTCAATTTATATTTTTCAGATACATTTACGTTTGCCACGCTCCAATGGCTAGGACTTGGTGCACTATGCCGCGCGTAAAACGTTGTACACTATACATTGCGATTTGTGCATTCCTGCATCAGAGCACACGTTTTTTCGACCGCACATACTATCCATTGCAGATTGAATGGAATGGCCATCATACAGAAGTCTGTCATGTGGAAACATCAAATTGGGTGCATATTTATGTTGGCGAGGATTTATATTTTACATTATACTTTTCATCTCGTGTGCTGTTTGTGCATCTCTTGCCCTGCATCATACTGGTGACGCTGAACATACTACTCTTCCGAGCGATGCGTCAGGCGCAGGAACGACGCAAATTGCTATTCCGCGAAAACCGCAAGAAAGAATGCAAAAAGCTACGTGAATCGAATTGCACCACACTGATGCTGATTGTTGTTGTTACCGTATTTCTCATTGTAGAGATACCGATTGCTGTGGTAACACTAATGCATATTGTGTCCTCGTTGCTTATAGAATTTCTGGACTATCGCATTGCGAATATTTTCATTATGTTCACTAATTTCTTTTTGGTTGTAAGCTATCCGATTAATTTTGGTATTTATTGCGGTATGTCACGTCAGTTCCGCGAGACGTTCAAGGAGATCTTTCTGGGTAGATTGGCGGTCAAAAAGGATAACTCTTCGAAGTATTCTATAGTTAATGGACCACGTACCTGTACCAATACCAATGAAACGGTGCTCTAGTAAATGGTGCTGTTGGTGCCATACCGCAGTAAGCATCGACGAAGTGGTGTGGGAACTAAACGAAGGTGTGGCACCACCAGTTGTACGAGTACCCAACAACTGAAGGTAGAGTTTCAAATTGAGCCAATGAGTGCGACTAAAGTTTTGTAATTACAATTGTAAACATTTTCAATGAAATTATTTAATAAGTTGCTTAGTATACGTATATAGCATATAGGTAGGAGGGATGTGTGTGTAACTGAAATTTGGAATTGACTGTGCTGTATTCAAATTAAATTAAATGAATGAAAATATAAGAAAATTAACTTTACTTTAAGATTTTGTACATATAAAGATATGAAGCTTGGTGTTGTTCTTAGTATAAAAAATAAAATTCATGTTTACGCATTTGAAAGGCACATTGTAAATATTGAACAAAGGAATTATACCGCAAGGATTTTGTTTTCCCTGCAGTAAAAACTTTTCCATGCTGTGCTTACTGAGTTCCGAAATACATTTTCAGCATGTAAAATTTGTGCAAAATTGCTCAAAGAATTATTTATATAATAAAAAAAATGTAAAAAATTCGCTTACATAAAAATAACTGACAAGCAAACTTTTGCTCCCCATTTTCCTATTTCCTACAAGGAAAATCAATTTTTATTATTTTTACAATTTTTTTCAATTTTTTTTCAATTTATCTGCTCTGGTTTATATCAAAACTTCAACTTTGCCAAATCAATTATATATTTTACTGCTTTTCTTTCTGGCTTATATGCAATACAAAACACAATTGTAAATATAAAATTATTTAAAACGATTTGCGAAGTAAGTCCTAAGCATGAGTTTAGATACCATTTTTATATCAAAAATTTGACTGCATTTGATGAGCTTGTCCATGGGTCTTCAGGTAAGGAGTAGTCAGAAGTTTAGGGTGTATTTTTTCTATATATTTTCTATATTGTAATGCTTTCCACTAAGCTTAACTGCATACTGCGACTGTTTTGAGATAATTTTAATATCACTAATTTTACTGAACTTTTTACTCATAAGTTAGATCGTAATTGATGTTTTGTAAATTAATGAAATAAACAAGAACTTAAATTTATAAATTTATATTGTGACAAATAAGAAAATGCTCTGAAACGCTTTAGATATATTTCAATGTAATTATTACAAAATAAATAGTTTTTATGTAAATTATAATTGTACACTAAATTGTATATAAGAGTTGTATTTACGCAGGACACGAGTAAGAAACAGATTGTAGGTTAGTAGTTAGTGGGGGTTTTTATACAACGCATAGGCATATATCTTAACAATTAAATTTATTTATATATATATATATATATATAAGATATATTGTAATAGTGAAATGAAATATTCATTTAAATTTGTAAACCTACAGAGCCCCAAGTGTTTACCAATTTAAATGATTTTAATTTCAAATTCTAGTAAAATGATTATATGCTTATCAAATAGAATTTTAAGTGAATGTGTAAAACTATTAATCAATTAATTATTAAATGAGAATTTCACATTGCATAGACTTTGAATTTCAAATAATAAATCAAATAAGAATGAATAAATATTTGTTTAATTGCAAAGTTTAACAAGTGTTAAATATTTTTCAATATTTCTATATTTTTAATATCAGCTGTAAACTGTTTTTAAACATAATGTTATGATGTAAAATATCAATATTTGTAATAATTTAAATATTATGTAAATAAGAAAAATTAATAAATTTGTTAAAATATATTGCATATGAGATATGGTATTTAAATAAATTTAATAAAACTTAAATTTCAGCACTATTTAAATCATAAGCTATTGCCTTTCATTTTACTAAATTGATAGAGAGACATCAGTTTTACAAATACCAAACGTATAGAGAGATTTCGAAAAGTAATAAACTACAACAACATAAATTATTTTTATACTATTTTAATTAATTGAATTTCAAATACTGCCAAATATTCATCATCTGTGGTCTTAGAAATAATTCTTGTATTTAATTAGTCGTAAATAATTACTTTGAGGCTGTAAGTAGTAAGTGTTAAAGTCATGCCCTGCCAAAATCGAAGCTCAGAGTCAGCGTTCATTAACCAACTGACACAAAGCCGTATTTGACTTGTATGTTTGCACTGTGAGGAGTTTTCTATTAATTTGCTGTGATATTTGTGCTGTGTTGTATTAGCACAAAATCATAAACCAACTGTAGAATAATTGAAATTATTTATAATAAATAACAAATTTAAATTTTTAATTATTAAATATCAATACTATACTTTTGTAGAGGTAACTTATTTAAGTGATATCTCAAACTAAAAGGTGTTGTTAAATATGCTAATAGAATTTTTAAGAGTAAATTGCTTAGCGGAAGTACCAGACTTAATATTTTATATATTGCAATGACATATTGTTTTGTTTGACGTTGACTCATACTAATAAGCCAATTCATCCTGACTATATTCGACACCAACGAGTGCTGAGACCCAAAGATCAGCAGAGGTCAGCAGGGCTCGAACATTACCAAGGAGAAAGTTATATCCAAAACACATACCTCATTAGAACCAGTGGAAATTCATTAGAATTTTCAATGGGGCGTTTATCGGCCCATTATTTTGATACATGTGTTTGTAGAGCACTATGGTAAGGCTTCATGACAGGTATCAACGCTAAACAACACTGTTACTGATTACATGCGAATGACTTTTTGTAAGTCTACAGAATGAATTAGGAAATCGTTTCTTCAATGTTCTGGAACCTATCCTTTTACTAAGTTAAGTCAAGCAATTGCACTTTTTGAAGTAATTACTATAGACTGAATGGCTTTTAATGTTGCTTGATTATTTTAAAGCAAGTAAGTTTAGGTTTCAAGACAAAAGTATTTAGCGGGTAAAAAGTGTATCTCATTCTGTAATTATTAAAAAAATTATATTATAATTTAAATGTTGTAAATTATTAGTTTAATAATTAGTTTACATTTTTCTGTAAAACATTAAATTTTATTTCTGTTTTTAGATATGTCGTATCTAAAAGTATGTCGTAGAAATAAAAAGTTTAAATTAAATTCCATTTTTAAATATGTTCAATTTTTTGTTTATTTTTGAGGGAACAATGCAGGCCAAGTTTAAATGAAAAAGGTGTATGAATTTCCATGGTTGTAGTGAAAACATGTGTTCTACAAAATATATTTTAAAAGTTTCGGAACAGAACAAACTGTAAACTGAGCGTTCGAATGTAAATAAAACAAGGAATATCCGAAAGTAGTAAAAAACGTTGGCTTTGAGTCGTCTATTCACCGCAACGACACACGGGCGTGCACTTTATTTGTGTAATTGAACCTTGAAAAATTACACAATTTGCAAGCACAGGTAAACAAAATACCGATAAAGGATTAGTTTTACTTTATTTGTATGCAATGGTATTGATTTTTAGATTTCCGTTTATCTCAATATTTAGTTACTGGTTGTTTACCATTTAATTTAATCTATTTATTCAGGAATCAGAGAAAATATAAAAATGAGAATAAATCTAAAGTAATAAAAAATCTGGATTATTTTGAACATTAAGTTTTTATACTAAAACTTGAGTATCTGAATTCATTTTAAAGATTATCGTAAAAAATTTATACTCATATATCTACACATATAATGAGATTACGCAAAGAATAATGATGACTTCACATAATTGTTATTGGAGTCCGTTTTTAGATTTTGACAGAACATTTGTTAAGGATTTGGCTTATGGAAAGTACATTCCGTCCATAGTATTGAAGGCTATTCATGTTGATGAAGAGGAATTGGTAATATTTCGAGAAGAGAGAAATTAGTTTGTTTAGAATGTAAGATAGTGCACGGAAAAGGCGAGCGAAAATTGAATCCAACAAGTACCAGATATCTAGCCACTATAGGGTTTAGCATATAAAAAACACATTCAGCTTAAGGATGGAAGGAAGAACTGGTGATATTTGGAATAGAGAGAAAATAGTTTGCTTAGAAGGTAAGATAGTGTATGGAGAAGGGGCGCGAAAATTGAGTCTAACAAGTACCAGATATCTAGAAAATTTACCATTATAATGACAAGCATTTAAAATTTAACTAAGTACAGAATTGATGTACCAGGAAATAATTGCATGTAATAAAATGTAGACATATTAAGCTGATTTAAGTTGAAATAGAGTAATTTTGTTAACCCAACTTTCTTTCTATAATAAATATCTATAAAATAAAAATATAAATATAATTGTATCTGGATCTGACCTTGAACTAACTAACAATAAGTTACAGTTTCGAAGAGAGTATAGTATGAGTTAAAAAGCTTTTTTGGTAATTAACACTAGAAATGATTTCTCTTCTGCAATAGATACTGATGCATTCATGGAAAGAATGGAGTAATATAGAAGATACTAATGTATTTATGATATGAACGAAGAAACATAGCATGATGAGCTTATTTGGAATTGTTACTTGAATAATCATTTTGCGGCACTTAGGCAAAAATTATTTAGACCGAAGCTGGTTGTGTCCCTCTTCAAGATTTGTAACAAATTTTAAGTATAAGTGACATGTGGTAGACCATGACATACGAAAAAAACTCGAAGCAGATAACTGTGCAAGACAACTCTCGTGTGTTTTGCAGACTAGAAAATTCTTCTTTAAAGCTACATATCCAGCTTTACGTCACTTAATTGTTTTTTATATTGTCACTATATTGTCTTTAAGTTTTATTTCAAGAGCAACCTATATGTACTGTTATGCAGAACACTATTTTTATGTAGTAACGTTTTTACAGAATAACTGCTCAAGTATAGCCAATCAATGTTGAGGATATTTCCCAAATATTTGTGGTTTAAAAGGGATGACATATGCAGCCAGTCTGATTTATCATAGCCACCAAAAGTATAGTAGCTTTGTGTCTGGGTCTTCATTACTAGTGATAAAAAGTTAGAGTTTCTATTTCTAAGCTTGGATTCAGTTATGAATGAGATAAGTTGTATGCGCTCTTTGTTAATTATAATTATTTACTTTCACAACATCTGTTTTTTCTCCATCTTATCAAAAATCATAGTAAGCTTCCAATATAACAGACAGACAGACAGATTATGGTGGTAAATGCTGCTCCACTTGATTGGTATCATTGTTTTTAGTTTCGAAAATTAGCCAAAGTTCTACTGACAAGTAAACTCATCTCCATAGCACCCGCAAAAATACAACTACATCTGGATTGCTCCATAAATATTAATAATTTTAAAAATTTACTAGATATAAAACTTTTTTGAAAAATTCAATATTTTTAACTAAAGTATTTAATATTTAAAATTACGTATATCAGCTGATGGAAAAGTATCAAATGAACTGCATTATTAACTGCAACTTTGATTGTTTCAATAATTTGAAAACTTTTAGATATAAAAGTTTTGGTTATTATATATAATTTAGTACATTTAATAGATGTAAAATCGAAACTTTTTAGTGCAGATAAAATTTTTTATTAGCATTAACCGAACATTCGTATTTTTGGAATTGATGAGAATTTTTTATCTGGAACTCATAAAATGTGTATAATTAAAAATAACTATTGAATGCAAAACAAAAGAAATATATTAATTTTTTATTTTAAATGGATATTATGCTGTTGAAAAAGTTTCGGATGTAATGACATGATTGGTAAAAAATTGTAAATTTACTCCGTAAAAAGTTTTTAGTGCAGAAAATTGTAATTAGAATCTGTTGAAAAATTTAAACAAAAATAAAAAAAATTTTTTAATAAAGTAAAAACACTCAATTTAATGAATTTATTATAAAAATGAAATACATAAATTAACATTTAAATTACAACAACGTCCCATTAAAAGTTCCTCACAAAAACAAATTGAAAATTAAAGTTAATTATAAAATAAAAATTTATATACTTTTGAATAAATTCTCTAATTTAAATACTTTAACAATATTTTTCTGCAGTGGTGGAATATTTCAAAT